TATCCTAGAAAGAGTTTGTCATAGTTGTATTTGAGTCTTCGCGTATTGTTTGCATGACTCTTTCCTGAGTTTCCGGTTCAAGCTCTTCAAACAGTGCCTGTCCATATGGAATAAGCTCGTTTCCAAATATATGTTTTTGTAGCCATTCTGGTTTTCTTTCCATGTTACCAACTATATCTTTTGTGAATGGGAAAGCTTTTACCCAATCTTTCAGTCTTGCGTCGTTTATTTCTGTAGTTGGTTTTATTTTGTCAAGGAACATGTTTTTCAATACTAACATTTCATTTGGTACTGTCCATTTGAGTTTTCTTAAATATTCATCCCTTCTCGTTCATTGTCTGCAAAGTAAGTTTTTATGACATTTTGTAAACTTTCGTTTGCAAGGTCATGTACAATAGGTTCTCTTCCTTCTCCCTCCCTAACTTTCTTTCTAAACTCTTCACCAAATATACCATCTCTATGGTTCTGTGTAGTTCTTTGAGATAAATGTTTAGAACGTCAGGTGTTATATTTCCATCAGCCATGTTCATTTCATACTGGTCCAAAATATCTGCATGTTTCATATCTTTCAATGGCATTAAAGCCGCGCTGAAAATACCAGCTATATCTGGTTCACCATTGACTTCCATTGCGTCTACAACTTCTTGGAATTGTGGTTGTAAGTTTATGAACCACCTATCCGGATTAGCTTTATGACCCCATCTCATTGTAGTTCCATCGTCTGCAGAAACAAAAGTAGGTTTGTTTCCATCTTGGTTAGGTTCTGAATGAACTTTAAACAATGTTTCATTTCTATATGTTTTCTTGAAATTTAACCTTTTATTTCACCGAGTTCATCCGAAGATTGAACGTTAAATGCTCGTAAGTAAAAAGGGTTGTTGTATTTGTGTACATTTTCTTTCAGTTCTTCCATTCTATGCTGAATATTTTCATCTGGTTGGAGTCTTTTGTATGTCGGCAAACATTTTTCGATATTCTTCTACTATGTCAGCCGAATTTTTTTTAGACTCTTGGAAATATTCCATATTCTCCGCATACTCTTGTTGAGGGTCAAGATTTTTCGGCTGTTCCAAATCTTCATCTAGTTCTGTGAAGTTAGTTTCCAAAGGAGTGACTTGTTCGTTTCCTTCAGGCTCTTCTAGCTGTTGTTGCTGAACTATTTCTTCCATGTCTGGTTGTATCTGAACTATTTCTTCCTGTGGAGTTTCTTGTACCTCATCTGCTGGCATTTCATATATTCCGAGACCGTTTTTAACAATTTCCCTATCTACGTCATCCGCATTCATAAGCTTTTGTTCTTTCGTTCCGTCTCTATTTTTTACGCGTTTCATGACGAAAGTTGAATTGTCATTTAGCTCTGACATCAAATATCTCGGAGTAAATTCATCCATGTCATTTGGATGATATGCTATTAAATCATATCCCTTAGCGAGCTTGTATTTTCCAGGTTTGAGATTATATCCGTTTTGGTGCTGAGCCATAAAGCTAAATAGGTTCGGGTCAGTATTTCCATCCTTGAACTTTCCAATAGCTTCTTTATATCTGTCACTAAAGTCAACAGTATCTGGGAAACCACACTCTTCTTTAAGCATTTTTAAGAATTCTTGGTTTCCTTGTTCTCTACTTCTTTTATGTCCTTGCTCTGTTTGTGGTTGTTGTTGTGCTGGGTTTTGAACTGTTGGTTGCTGTGCTGGTTGTTGTGCTGGTTGTGGAGGTGGTTGTTGTGCTGGTTGTTGTGTTGGTTGTTGTGTTGGTTTTGGTGCATGCCTGTGTCTATGTCCATGTGACGATGTAAATGTTTTAGGTAGTCCTGGTGCAGGTGCTTCTCTTGGAGGGTTTGGTGGTATATAAGTTCCACCAGCTGGCACATATGTTCCATCTGCAGCGTAATGTCCTACCTGACTTTTCGTTCTTAAGAAAGCATTTACTAGGTCTGTTTTGGTCTGTTGTAACTCTTTTTCTTGACTTTTCACAACAGTTGCTCTAACGGCGTCATAGGCACTTTGAACTGCCTGTCTCGTTGCTGCATCTGTTATTTTCGTCATATTTTGTGCTACTTCTTTTAACTCTTTGTCGAAACCTTCAGACTTCAGTTTCTTTCCAGATGAGAAGTCGTTCACTTGTTTCACCTTACTATGAAGAGCTTCGAAGGCGTTCTTAAAGTCAGCATTTGTTAAAGCTTCATTTGAACTGTCTTCATCCGCTTGTATTTTTGTCCTTATTGACCCTATAAGCTGGGCTGCTTTAGCGTTGGCTTGGGCATCTAACCAGTCATTGTTAGCTTTTATATATTCTGCGCTTTTCATTGCCTTTTGCATGGCTGCGTCGTTATTTTTACTTTCTTGTGCTAAGTTTTCATACTGTACGGTTTGGTTTTGCAACTGTAAAAGTTTTTCTGCCTTTACATTTGCTTCAACTTCTTTTTTATACTCATCGCTATCCATATATGTCTTCAGGGCTTTTTGTTTTATCTCTTCATCTTTCAGTACTTTATATTGAGTAGTATGGTTTTTCAAATTTATGACATCTTGTTCCATTTTTGCTACTTCTGTTGCTTTTTCTGACACTTTTTTCGCATATTCCTCTGTACTTAGTTCTTTCAGTTGTTCTTCTTTCTTCTTTTTCTCTACGTTTAACTCATTGAGTTTCTTTGTGTGTCTGTCATATTCTAGTTTCTTTTCGTTTTCACTTATTTGCTTCTGTATGTCTATGTTTGACTTTTTGACATCTGATATTTGATTTTTGAGTAAACTCAAATTCATTTGACTTTGAGGGTTATATGCTGTTCCGTCTGCAGCTCCACCATAGCCTGCCATTTTCGCTAAAAGTGCCGCTCTTAAACCTCCACTCTGTGCACCAACAACTCGGTTTAAAAGCATAGGATTGCTTGACATTTGTTGCAACATAGTGGGGTCATTCAGCATTTGTTGTTGCAACTGTTGTTGTGGTGTCAGTCTTACTATTGGATGTTTCAATGCTCTCTTCCTCTTACGTATATTCTTACGTAGCTTACGTGGCATTTTAAGTGAAGTTAAAAAGCGGTTTTTGACAGATGTTTATATGACACTTTTTGTTCAGCACAAAAAACTACTCGGTCAAAGTGTTGTCAGTTTTGTAAAATAACCGTCTTATCTCATTCTATAAGGGGGAAAAGGCTTCTCAAAGTACTTCCTTGGAACGCCTGTAACTTTTCCTGTAGCGACGATAGACCCTTACTTGTCCGGACAAAGTTATACTATTTTGAGTGCTCTACAAAAAAGTCAACGGCGACGACTCTCAAAAACCGTTGTGTAAAAAGTTTTACCGTTGGACAAAAAAGTATGTATAGAAAACAAAAAACGTTTATAGTTCATTCAATATTTGAGATGGAACGGTTTGCCAACGGAGACCTTTCAATAAAATAAAAAATAGAGGGGGTTACCGTTGACGAAAACGGTTTATTTTAAACTTTTCTATGAGTAGTCCGAAAAAAACAGTTTATTTTTGTCTAATGGAAGCCAACATTAACAATTCTCAACCGCTAACCAAAGCCAAAGCCCCACAACCTCCAAGAACTGGCACAGCTGTTAGAATAACCGCCAAAAAGTCTAACAGCGAATTAAGAGAAATTCTTCAACAAATTTGCTCTAAATATCTCAAAGACGCCGAAGAAAACACACAACCAGACGCTATATACAATACTCAGTTCTGTGAAGTTCTGAACAAAGCAATTGCTAGTTCAATTGAACTTACTAAGACAATTCCAAGTCCAATTGAGCTTAGCGATGTCTTAGTTCAGTATTTTCCAACATTTACTAAGCTCATAATGTTGAGAACTTTATACCAAGTTCGTCAAAATCTTCCTCGTTACATGCAACGGTCATTCGACAAGAGAATTGCCGAATTCCAAGTCTTTAGTTACGGATATGACCAAGATGAATACACTGACGAGTTCGGAGACAACTGTACAAAATGGTTTGAATGCTATACGACAACACAATTTGAATTCGACTTTCTCGAATTCAACGCAGCAACCATTCATATCATTGCTCTTTACCTTTCCGAACAACAACAAGACCTCGCAGATGGAGATGTTGTTACTGTCGTCATGGAAACTCCTGAACAATTCGGAAAAAAGAAGTCTCTAATTGCCAAATTTGTTCCAGGACATCAGCTTTTCCAACGCACAGAAGTCTTCTGTATTCCTGGAACTAAGTTCTTTGTCAAGAGCGAACTCAAAGAAAGATATAATGTGTCATTCAATTACACATTATATAATGTTTTCGACCCAGAAGAAGGCTTCTTCCCAGAAGCAATGGAGGAAGAAGAAGAGGAGGAAATACAAGACTCTATCCAAGAAGAGTCCTCCGAATTCACACCAGAAGACTAACAATTTTCCGAATAAAAACTTCATTTTATACTAAACATCTTCGGGGCTAGAAGGGGCGCAGCCCCTGGAAGCCCCAATGCCTTTTTTTTTTTTTTTTTTTTTTCTTACTATGTTAAAAGTAGCAATTGGGTTGGTCATAACCTTTTCGGATGGTCCTTCTTGCCGAATACAGTAATTGATGATATCAGGATTATTTCCGGTGAAAGATTTGTTGTAGTTATGAACAATAAACATGAAAATATTAACAGAACCATACTGAGCTGCGTAATTTATTGTAGATTAATTGTCAATTCCGGAAAACATTAATCGTTGTTGCCAGAAAAATCATAATTTTTTTAGTTTTAATATGAAGATTTTCTTATTCAAGTATCATAATTTGGCATTCAAATTCAAGAGTATCATGAGAATCGTTATTATATTTGTTCATGTGATCATATATAATTATTGAGTCCAATCAAAATTAATCAATTCTCAAAATGTCTGTAGATGCAAAATTAAGGCCCAAATTCAAACTTTGTGATTATCTTTATCTCTAGAATAATGGATTCTGTAAGAAATTTTTATGATCCAGAAATTTATATTCAGAATTAAAAATTATGAGTATTTTCTTTTAAGACAAATATAAAACAATTTATTTATTCTGAAGGAGATTTAATATCATATCGATTTTTGTTGCAAGATCATCAACTTTCTTATTCAAATTTTCTACTTTTTTGTTTAACACTGTAACTCTTGCAGGAAGGGCATCATTTGGACTCTTTTTCTCTTTGTTATCTGTTGATGGACTTTCTTCAGCAGATTTATGATTTTCTGCTGTTGTAACAGGTTTATCTAAAATTTCTAAATCAGGAACATCCGGAATTGCTGATTTTACCTTAGCCATCATCGATTTGGCCCTTGCCTTGTCTTGTGGAACACCTGTTCCTGTATAAAGAAGCTTCGATAGCTCGTGCAAAGCTGTAATATCTTCATCTTCTTTTAATACACTCTCGAAAAGCTGGGCAGCCTTCGTAGCATCCTTTTTAGAGTATGTATATTTGGATAATGGAGAAAGAATGGCACCAATTTGTGTTTTGGCAAAGATATATCCGAATTCTTCGGATTTTGTAAAATATTCGATTGCTTTTTCTGCGTCATTTGATTCTTGTAACAATTCCATGCCTTTCTTGAAAAATGCAATTGGATAATTGTATTTTTCCATGGCCAAATTCAAATATCCATTTGCTTTTTGAGACATGCCTAAACTTGTATGGAATATATCGTAAAATGCTATGAGTGCTGGTGGATAACCAACATCAGAGGAAAGAAATAGAAGTGGTAAAGCACCTTGAATTAAATCTGGATTATTGCTATTCATATTCACTTGGAATATAGAAAATGCTGTAAGCGGATCAAGTTGTTGTGTTTTTGGATGAGGAGCTACAACAATTGTTGGCCATTCTTTTTCTGAATCTGTAATTAATGCAATAATAAGGCCTTTGTCAGTAAGTTTAGTCTTAGAAGTTTTAACTGGCATGAAAAGTTTACCAGCAATAATGGGCGGCTCATTAGGTAAAGAAACAAGAATTGAATCTTGATCAATTTCTGTTTTAATTTTAGATAAATCAGCTCCTGGGCATGCCATTATTCCAATATTTATTATATTTCCCTTCTGGGAATAATCCCAGATGTAAAGACGCATCAATTCTGGTTTGATCATTTTGAAAATTTTGCCAGAAAAAAAATCTTTTTGTCACTTTTTAGCACTCAAACAAACAAAATTCTTAGAAAAAAACTCAATACGGCAACATAATTTATGCATATTTCTCTATGTTTAGTCGAATATAGTATACTCACCCAAAGTAAAAATATTGTTACCTGACGTCCTAAATTATCAATTAAATCATATCAGATTATTGAGCCAAGGAATAGTGGCAAATGATTTTTACATTATGTATAGTAAAAATAAGAACTATCATTTCTTTCTGTTTAAATTAAATTTCCTAATCCAATGATTTAATATTTGGGCAGGTAGATATTAAAGAAAGACAGAACAAAATTCAGGTGCATACATTTCCTAGTATATCTGACTCTTCTCGCATCATCTAGTAAGTATACCAATATCTTACATCTTAGGTAGCCGTTTAAAAATTGTTAAAAATGAAAACTCATCAGCTTACTTCCGAAGAAACAGATATAATTAATACAATATTAGATGCTGCTGAGCGTGATATCGATTACAATATTGACCAGCATCATCCTCTTTCAGTTTTGGATGAGCAATGCCGCGAAATTTGGCCAACATGGAGTATTTCACAAAAAATGAATTCATCCAGATTTTCACAACCACAAACTGTTTCTCCATCAAGGAAATCTAGTTATTCAAATGAAAATTATTCAATCCGCAATCAAGAATCCAACATGACACCTTCGAAGATGACTGTTGACAATATTGAAATCCCTAGCGGATCTCCTATCACAAAAATTTCATCTCCTAAAACACCCGTTTCATCTCATACAAATCAGAGCTCACGCTCTCCTACATCTACAACCAGTACAAATAAAATATCGAGTAATTTAGAATTAGAAGATATGAAGAAAGACATTGACGCACTATATTTCAGAATTCATTCACCTGCACAATTAGCAACAGCAGTAAATCAAGAACAAAACTCTCCAAGCAGAAGTAATTCATATAGAAGTAACTCTAATACAGTAACCCCACAAAGAGATACAACCCCAAGAACTGAAAGAAATATAAGTTCTTCTCCTTCTAACTCTGAAGTTATGAGACTTCAGGCAGAGAACAATGCTTTACGCACAGAGATAGATAATTTGAAGGCACTCCTCAAGTCTAAAGACGATCAAATCTTAAGTCTGCAAGCTCAGATAAGAAGATCGCCGTTTCATTAGAAATATTTATAAATAAAAATTGTAATGTTGATATACATAGAATTCATGCATTAATATCTTATATTTCTCATCAGCTTTTTCCTCGAATCTATCTTATATTAGGATATTTATTGAAACTATTTAAACAAAATGAAAGGTGATTTTTTGTAACAGGAACATATTCAATTAATAGGTTTAATAGACCACAACTCTAAAGGTAGTACAGCAACATGTATTGCTATTACATGGAATTGTATTGGAATGTTGATACCTTGAAATGAAGTATTTTTTGGGTGCATTTATATTGTCGAAAATATTTTTTTTATCGGTTGATTAAATTTATAAAAAAATGGAAGTTTGGAAGAAAGTTACTAAATATTTCAAAGAGGAAGATGTCTTCGATGAAAAAACTATTAATTGGCCCAAAAAAGAGAAGCCAACAGAACTAGATGACAAAATAGATGAATTAACAAATAAATATTCTCCAGATGCAAGAAATATACTTCAAGAAATGAACAAAATAGCTTTAACACAATCTAATGAAGATCCAAGCAATTTTTGTTCAGCAGAAAATCCTTTAACAAAATATATTCTTCAAAAAATAGTTGATCTTTCTGCAGTTTCTCAACAAAGTGATATCAAACTTAATAAAAATGGAATCATTACTTGGATGATAACAGATGAACACGATGAAACTCCTTTCGACAAAAGAAAAGTTATTTTTTACAATGGCCGAATCTCTTCTAACATCGAAAACAACCTCAACAAGTCTCAGGAGGAGGTAAATTCTTCAATTACGACTACATCTCCTAAATTTAGATTCGAAGGAATAGTTTCTCAGATTTATTCAACAAAAATCCTTCTCGAAACCAAACATTACGGCTCTCTTAAGGGTTTGATTATAGTTTCTATCTGTAGTTTATCATCTACAGTTGTTGCTGTCGCATCTCAAGAAATTGTTGGCGGCAGACTACCAAATTGTGTCGTTCTTACAGAAGGAATCGATAATAAAGAAGCTACAGAGAACGAATTTAAGGTTTACGTTGGTCAACTTGGTCATGCACAAATTAATGTTGAAGTTGTTGGCCAATCATGCCACGGATCAATGCCAACACAAGGAATTAATCCATTGGAGTGTGGGTCCATGATTATTGCAGAAGCTTCCGAACAAGCCAAACTATTTCCAAATCATAAATTCTTAGGAAAGGGATCACGCACTTGCACATCGTGCAAACTCGATACCCCATCAGATTGTGCAGTTCCAGCTCGTTACGTATTCGTTTTCGATAGATATTTCGAAGTTGACGAATCCGAGCAATTATTAACAGAAGAACTCAATGATTTGAGGTCCGTCGAAATAGCCAAGAAGAGAGGCTGCAAGATATCAATGAATGTTGACAAGCTCATTCATTCATGGGTCACTCCTCTCAATAATTTCTCAATAAAGTCACTTTTTATCACCATTAAAAAGTGCCAAAGTGAAGTTCCCCTTAAATTTGAGAAGTTCGCTATTCCTATCGACGACGGTTTTTCATTAGCTTCTAATACAGAAACAGAAGAGAAGAATTATGTCGAAATGAAAGGTGTTTCACATCCACCAATGTTTGGATTCACAACTTCTGAAAATGAAATTGCAAAATCAATAGGATTGCTATCTAAATATCCTTCAGTTTTTATCAACCACTCTCCTAAATAAAGATTTTCTTCTATTAATAAAATGTTAAATTTTAATTATATTACAGAATCTCTGCAAAATGAACTTTTTTATTTGAATTATCATTAAAAATGTTATATAGCAAATGTGATTTCTCATAATATCAATCGTGAGCATTGACGAATTATTAATCTAAGAATCATAGTAATTCACGCCTGTAATTCATAATTCCATAAAGATATTAGATAGTTACAAGATCGCCATCAAATTGGAACATGATGAATGCTCAATCCTAGTTAATTAAATTTAGGGTGCAAGAAAGAATTGATATCTCAATGAAATATGATCCATTACGAGCTTTCACGTAAATTCGGCGACCCGAACGTCACAAAGTTTCATAACCAATATGTCTTTGGATACCCATGTCCAGACAGCCAATATGAGTGTAGCCCATACACAGTTTCCTTTGATCCAGGACGATACCTCTTTGAAGCCTGGGGAGCGAAAGGCGGTTATTGGAGTTGGACAGACGGCCCTTCCTTTCCGGGCCTTGGCGGCTACACATCTGGTGTGCTAACAATTAGAAGTCCATTGACTTTATACCTTTATGTTGGATCGACAAATTATTTTAATTCGATTTTCTATTATCGAAACACTAATTATGGATTCATGTTTGGCGGCGCCTCGTCCGATGTTCGTCTATATGCCAATGAGTCCTTTGATTGGTCTAATCCTCTATCACTTCGTTCCCGAATCATGGTTTCGGGCGGGGGAGGAGGTGCAGAATGGTCTAAAAGCATTGGTGGAAACGGAGGCGGTATTCAGGGAGGTACTGGATATACAAATTGCTTGGTAGATGGACAGAATTCATGTCCTGAATTAATATCCGGAGGAGGAAGTCAAACCTCCGGAGGGACTGCTTCGCCAAGTAAGGGATTAATATCTGGTTTTCGTGGAATGTTTGGAATATCTCCTCTAAAGTATTCGTCTTCTGATTTTGGATCTGTAGGAGGTAATGGATATTATAGCGGCGCGTCGACTGATCATGCAGGCGCTGCAGGTGGTGGAAGTTCTTTCATATCGGGATATGAAGGTTGTATTGCATTGAAAGGTCCCACTGATGAAACTCCGAGCCCATCAAATTCGCCTATCCATTACTCCAAATACTTTTTCACGAATCCAATCATGATCCAAGATAATCAAACCATGCCTCTTAACTAGAGTCCGGAAACACGAGGTATTGGCAACAATGGGAAAGGTGCTATCCATATCACTATTCTTTTGAAAGATTTTTCATGCAATCATAGATATTTTAATTCAAACAGCTTTTTCATTCTCACAATAAACTTAATTGTTAGTTTATAAACATAAAATATAGGTTATCTATATTCTTTCAAAGATTCACGTATAATATGGTCTTTAGTTCTGTTGCTCAGGGGTAATTTTCGATTATGCTTCAAGCTGAATTTAAAGTCATATTGAACTTTTGTGTTTTCTTCAAATGAGATATATTACTTCATCTCCTTATACACTTAATGATGTATATGTTTCCTAATTATCCATTGCTTTTATATTTTCTCCATCATAATAATTATTTTGTGATGCCATTTTGAGTGAAGTTAGTCCATATTTAGGTGAAAATATAGAATTGTTGATAATATTTTATACGTAATAGGCACTATGTAGTACATGATATCGGTAAAATATCTCTCTGATCAAATTTTGATATTTTCAAGTGATCTAAAAAAGTGACAATGAATGACAAAGAGTGGTGGCAGGCACATATATTAAAAGCTGCCACTGCTGCGCTTTCTACAATATCAAAAATCTACATAGGATGCCCCGTGTATGTTGATCCAATTTTTTACTTTTTCTTGAAGTATGTAAAAGATCTTGCAAAACTTGACAAACTAGACATCTTTCCATTGGCAAATATAATGCAGACAAAGCGTGATAATGACATGGTAATCGTTTTAGGATCACCCGGCGACATTTTAACGTACACAAATAACATTTCACAAAAAGCCGAAATTATCTTTCTTACAGTACCAATTCCTTCTATCTCTTTCAAATTTAATATTATGGCACAACCATTTAATCCAATTAAATACGATGGTTGGCCATTCCCATTCGTTCCGAGAAAGAAATGTCTTCTAATGCCAATTGGAACGTTCACAGACTTTTACTTATCCAATCAAGCATATCAGACAAAGGCTCTTAAAGCAGGATTAGCCATTTTAGCTCATATTTTCGGAGGGTTTAATCGAGTTTACGGAATTGGCACTTTATCATCGAAAGTAGCCTCAGGATTCCTTGATGCCATGCCACCTAATATCGAAAGATGCAATAACAACCTTATTTTACTTGACAGAACTTTAGATCTTTTGACACAACTCAGATTTAACGAAACATACATTGGATTCATGGAAGAACTTATTCCATTTGACGAATTCGACCTAGAAATTACTCCTCCTCAGCAAATGCAAGTATTTAATCGAAGAACTCCAGCTACAACAAATGATGACGATTTATTTGAAGATATAGCAGTCAGAACTATTCCAGAAGTCAGAAGAAGACTTAATGTGATGGGTATAAGCAATTCCCTTGCGAATGACATCAAAAATACCCATACAGATTTACTTAATAAAATGGAACAACTTTTCAAAGAGAATTATCCGAAAGCTTTACTCTTCGAGACCCAGAATGGCCTTGTAAGTGATCCATTCACTCAATCAAGAATCCTGGCTTTGGATAAAGACTCTTATGAACTGGCTTTCAGAGCTCTCACAATTTTACGATCGAAAGGTGACAAAACCGCCGAAAATTACGCCAGGTTCCTCGGCCAAGCCCTTGGAGTACAATCCGTTGCCAGATGGACACGCATTGATGAATTTTTGACAACAGCTGTATCTGTCTCACTCCCAACAAAGGCCAAAGCTTATTGCGCTGAAGTTGGCGCGTTAGCTGCAATATTCGCAACGATTATCACCGACGAATGGAAGAGATCGAAGTTCCCCGTATCGCCAAACTACATATCTACACAGACTCCAGTAATGAATGAGCCACAGAGATGGTTCGTTGTGATTCCTGGAGGATTATGTGCGGCCGAACTTGCCGCCATGAGAGTTTTGGCAAGAAACATTAGACCTACGGACCAGTTCGTGTTCATCCCAACTAATATGCAGTCTCCTTCGGGTTTAATGAGCGAAATTATAAGAAAATGATTTCTTTGTAGATTTTATTATCTGTTTCATTCTCGATTATGAACTTACATATAAGAAGCTCCAATTTTGATATCATTTTTCATTTAGATTTTAATATTTGATATCAAAATTTCGGAATTGTTTTTTCAAATTCATTAAAATAGTTCTAAAATGTATGTATTCAACTAATTTATATAAGAAACGATTTCATCATAAGATTATTTTTTAGGATTCTGCTTATGTTCACTAATTCCATATAAATTTAATAATAGAGTTATTCTTTCAAAGACATGATAGTTTTTTCTTTATATGTAAAATGTATGCTATATTCTGCTCGAGTTTTCCACTGGATTTTGATACAATTGATGAAAGTATCAATATTTGCCAAATTAACCAAGATAAAACAACATATTTTATGCAAATTATTGAACAAGTTAACCTTCTTTGCTCGTTTTACTTGGTTTTTATCAAATTTCAAATGATTTTTTCATGATTTCATTTAAATAAGATTAAAATCAATAAAATTTGCATTTATTGAAGTATATAACAAACAAAATGAGATAAATATTGATCAAAATGAAAAATTATTTGACAGAAATGTGCTCTTTTGCAGCCCATTCAAGAATTGTATTTCTATCATTTTCTGGAGCACTCTCTATTGATCTGCGAACAAGGCAACTTGATAAAATCATCATATTATTAACTGGAGTTGTTCTTAAGTTCATAAGCTCTCTCTGTAATACTTTACTTATCAAATCAGATGCAGAGGCTGATTGACTCCAATATTGCCTCTTAGCAATTTGAGAAATTGTACTACTAAACAAATCGAAAGTTTCACCAAGTAACATGTTGCAAAAATCTGATAACCCTGGATATTTTTGACTGCTATCGAGCTTTTCGGCTAAATCAAGTAAATCTCCATGCATAATTCCGATTTGAATTAAAGATTTTGTATTTGTCAGTTCGAAAAATCGAGATTGCGCTAGAAGTAAGTATTTTCTTATAATGTGCTCTTGCAAATTTTCATCGTTTCCTTCATTAAATGATTGCAATAATAATTGATATAATTCTGTATGTTCTAGGGCAATATTTTCATCAGGAGGAGTAACCTGAGCATGAGAAATGTGATATAGAAGCTTGAATTTATCGACATCCATTGGTTTTGGTTCGACTTGAACATCAGGAATATAAGGATTGCAAGGATTGTCGATTTGATCGCTTCGTGGTATTGGAAAATTCCTTCTTAATGCATCAGCAGCCATTTGGTCATCATTTGCATCATCATTTATCACTGTTACGTTTCTACTCATTTTCTATAATTTTTTTTTTAGAAAAAACGAAACAAAAAGTGCATCAAATTCTAAAGCATACCTTATTTTAGCGAAATTGATGATCTTTAGTGATTTTAGTGAATTTCCCAACTTATTCAAGCAAGAATGAGATTTTGATTTTAAATTTTCAATATGAGTTGTTGTTATTGTATCCATTTTAAAAAGAAATACTAAAGATAATTTATAGTGAGATAGTAAATATATTTCATCTACTTCTGTGGAAATAAAACCAGTTGTTCAGGCACTGACACTGAATAAAGTTACCTAAAAAGGTTTCCAAATTAGACTTGTTCATATAGAGAAGATAATTGTGCTGAATAAAAGCGCTTTGGTATCATTAGAAAAAGGGATTTTAGATCCAATTTTCCTTTGGCTTTCAACGAATTCTTCAAAAGTAAAACCGACCAAGAATCAACTTATAATGTATTGAAGAAAAATTTTTTCACCAAGGATTGAATATAGTGAAGCCACACTTAACGGAAGAAGAAGAAAAAATTTATTATATCTATATAAATAGTTTATCCAATAATTTCGATGTCAGAATAGTCACATTCATTGTCACTTTCTGGTTTGACATACAATTGATCATGAACTTTTTCAGCATTGAAATCAACATTTCTATTTCTCAACAAAATGTGTTTTCTGACTTCAGGATCATCAATATCATTTGCAACTAATATAACAGAGTTTCCTATACCTTCAAGTTCGCTAATCTTCTTATCATCAGTGTCTTCGCAATCATAAATAATGTTATTTCCAAGCAAGATCGAAGGAGAATTAATTCCTGTTGATTTTGCAACTTCAGAAATCATTGTTTTAGTGTAATCGCATTGTACATGCCACACTTCATATCCGCAAATAGAACATGTCTTTGAAGGAGGCTCCAATTTAACAGGAGTAAGTTTTGGACCGTTTAATGAATTAGACATCCAAACAGATTTGACATTTAATTTGTTTTCCGTAAACATCTGTTTCATCTGTTGAACTGCGATACCTGATATAATCGAGTTAGTTGTGGCTAAAGCAGGAACAACAACAGCAACTAATCCTTTGTTTTCAAACATAGAAACAGCTTTGTTTATATGGAAACAATGACTTTGTAAATTAGTTGCTGCGGTTGCGAATGCTAAATGATCATCATCGTCCTTATCGAATACCAAAGGTGGTGACAAACGTGAAACAACGTCTGCAAAAACACCACATGACTCTTCAAGTGTCCATTTATCACATGGTCGAGTAATTGGTTCATGGTTTGGAGTAACTTTGGCGGGATATGGATCAGGAGGTACTCTATGTTTCCATATCTCTGTTTTCGAGCGTAGTTCTTCGATTCTTTTGACAAATACATTATCATATAAAGCTTGTGGTTCGAGATTGTCAACAGAAATGACATCATTCGAGCCTTGACCACTAAATACGGCGTTGAAGAGGTGGAATGACCAGGCTGAACAATGCTCTATTGTTTGAGGAGTAGATCTGATTGTACAGGTAACTTTTGGACCGGAAGGAGCAGCAACAGGGCTGCAAACATAGCATGCAGATTTGAATGGTATAGTAGGTACTGATTGAGCATGCTTTCCTGATGACGCACAATCAATAAAAGGAGTTTGAGTAATGACACAAAGCTGACTGATACGCATTCTTGCATCAATATTGTCAACACCGCAGAAAACAAAGTCAAACTGGTCAATAAAATCAGGATCAAAACTGGAATCAAGAACATTTCCTGAAATTCCAGTAATTTGTAAATTTGGATATCTTTTCATTGCATTTTCTGCAAGTCTGATAGATTTTTCTTTGCCAATATCATCTTCGCTATAGAAGAATTGGCGAGATAAATTTGATAACGAGATTGTATCGAAATCTACAACAGTAATACGATAAACTCCATCAATAGCAAGGGATTTGATGATTTCACATCCAATTCCACCTGCTCCAACAAGTAAAATGTTGGGAGATTTATCAAAATCCATAAAAAAATTGACATTTTTTTTCTCCCCAATTCTCCACATAAACTATTTGGAAACTTTGTCTATGCAAATCTATAAATACTGTGCATAAGTGAAATAGTTTTGTTCCCAATTGATGACTTGCACTTTAAATAACATTGTTTTATTTTTTATTCGGCTTTGCTCATACTCATAATGTTATTTAACTCTTACCATAACTGGTATAATTAAAGAATAGGAGTATTTTCTGCCAAGGCTAGAATTTGTGATTTTTGGATTCAATTTTGTTTAATTGAATTACATATTGGACTTAAATATACAAAGAATACATTTATTTTCTAGAGGTATTCTTGTCACCACGATGCTTTAATGTTATGCTATAAATTGAACAAAATTATTCTTGAAAATTAGTGTAAACTGATCAAAACCATGACAAACATTAATATTTTTCATTTGTAAAATATATTTTTACCATTTTGGCCAGAATTAATATCATCGTTGTCAAAGGGAAGTTCCCTTTTAGCACTTTTTTTCGAACTAAATTTTTTAAATTCCAATGAATGCCGATGATGTTAAGAAGATTATTGACGCCTATCAGAAGAAACTTGACAGATTCGGCAACGATAACGATCTTCTGGAAATCGGAAACGGATTAGATGAAAAATCAATAAAAGCTTATTTAGATTTTGCGATACAGAACGATATTCAGCCAGATGTTGTTCTTCGAGCCATACTAGAATCCATTCCAGAAGAGAAAAGGAACCTAACCATTTCAACTATCAAATGTTCTTTACAAAACATCATAAAATGGAAGTTCAGTTCACCAGAGAAAGGCGATTTATTCTCTACAGTACTCAGAAAGCTGATTCCACAGATCTGTGCTCCTAAAATGATATCAAAAATGATGGATGTTATTTGGGAGCAAGCAAAGAAGATAAATCCCGAAAAAGAGAACTACGAATTGATAGAAGAAAAGCTTATCTCCATCATACCAGCATTATTCAACAAATTATACAATGAAAATGTCAAAATCACTTCAGGCGAAGAAGAGAAGTCAAGCAAAGACATTTGTCAAGAGTTTATCAACAAAATATTCGATGACCAACCTCCTCTTTCTTTACTTCCTTATCTTGCCGACTTATTTTCCGAAATTCCTATGAAAGAAGCCGATCTCGAGCGAATGATCGACCACATCAACAGCCAATCGTATTTCAGTGATCTCCCGGACATTGCTCTTAAGATTTTCCAACCATTGAGGCAATCCAAGAAACTCACACCCAAATGCATGAAATCCATTTTAAATGCAGCGATCAGAATCGATAGAGACAGTCGTGCATCAACAAGAGACACTCAAACAATGGAAGGTAAGCTTATTAAGAACATTTCTTTAGTAGCATCAACATCGAGACCAGTTTTAGATAGTGTTACATCTATATTATGTTCAAAAACAGAATTGAATTCTCATTTCACTCCTTTTGCTGTTTCTTTGAGTTTATATTTATCAAGGATGAGAACAAAGATATATGATTCATTGTATAGTAATTTTGAGCAACAGTTAAAAGACGAACAGATGAGAACAGTATCAAGATATTTAAGACATGTTTATAATTTGTTTAATGAAGAATTACATGAAATACCAATTGAATCTGTAATTATTGAAACTGTTCAATTGACACATCATTCTTTGGAATCAAATATCAGATTTTTAATCGAATTCGCTTTCAACTTAGTTGATAAAGCTCCTCAATACGATTCCAGTTTGAAGAGATTGCCATCAAAAATACGTGAAAGCTCTTCACAATTCGTAACTCCAGCGTATAGACAAGTAGAAATTGGCGTGAAAATATTGGATCAATGTACAAAAGTTTTCCCTGTCGAATGCCCTGAAATTTTTCGACAAATTGTACAAAGATTATTATTAAAAATGCCAAATTGTGTTTCTTTGATTCGTTGTTTGAATTCTCCTGATAATCCACATTTAGCCGCTGAATTTTTGGTAGATATCATTGAACAGATGCAGCACATTGACTTAAATACTTTGGAACAAGTAATGAGAGTTGCTATTCCAAAGATAATTGATGACCAAGCATTGGTCGATAGGGTTGTGATGTCAAGTAGAAAAAGTTTTTGTAATAGAAGTGAATCTTCTAAATTGAATGGTTTAGCTTGTATGTTTTATTTAATACAGCCAAGAGCTGAACAAACATTTACACAGGCTTTCATTACAAATCACATAACAAATAATAGATTGGAAAGTGTTTGTAATGAAGATTTACAATTTGAAATTTTTTCATTGATACAAAGAGGATTTTTCCAATCCCCACAAGTACAAGCTGACACATCAATGTTTATTCCTCTCTTGTTACAACAAAATATTTCTTTGGCTGATAACGCGTGTAATATGTTCGACCAATTAATTTCTGATGTTTACAAAAAAGATCAGGAATTTCCTTTGGATATTTCCAAGAATTTGCCGTATCTTTTGCAGTCAATCGCTGATACTTTGTTCATTCTTCCTGATAACGTTGCTGACCAGGAAAATTGGCAGAATTTGACAGAAATTTTCAATGAAATAACCGAAAAAGTGTCAAAAGTTGAATTAGTTGTTTATACTGAAGAAATGAAAGTTTTAGGAAAACCCGAAGAAAGAGATATTATTTGTGCGGTTTTGGCGGTTTTATTCAATTATTCAATAAGAACAAACGTAACAACTGCTTTAGAATTATTCAACACATATGATAGGTTGAATCACAAGATTGCAGAAAGTGAGAGATTGAGGAAAGACAAAGAAATGAGGTCGAATTATTCATTTAAATTCTCTTTGAACATTGAATTACTGAAAACAATGTATAAATTGTTGAAAGGTGACAACACTGATATTACTAAACATTATGGAATACAGTTGTATGTTTTGGAAAGAACGAAAGAAGTAATAAATGATGTACCTGTTTTAAGGTTAGAATACAGAATGAACAGATTGAAATTGGCTTTGGATTTGGGTGAAATGACTATTGATGCAATGGATAAGATTGAATGGTTGGATGCACCATCTGGAATGAAAAACGCTCAATGTTTGACAGAAATTTTGACAGATAATTTCAAGAAATTGTTCAGTTTCGTGTTTGAAACTTATGATAGAAAAACTGTTGAATCATTTTTGGAAAAATCGAAGTTGTTGACACCAGGAAAAGGTATAAAATCAGCACAAAGAAACATCTTTTCTAATGTTAAAATGTTCTTAGAAAAGAACCAAACGAAATGCGCAGACAATTTCTGTAAAATACTGGAAAATTTGAGTTTCTTCGATGTAAATGATCCGAAATTATTTGAAAGCATCACAAAATTAATGTCTAAACTCATTGTAAGGAATACAACACAGTCATTCCACATCATCAGACTCGCAAGATGTTTTTGCCCTGGTGCAAGATTGGATTGGCTGAAAATGGCGTCAGATTCTATCGTGGAAAGGTTGTTAGATGAAGAAGGTCAAACTTCAGCTCCGTTGCATGAAATAATTCAATGTGTCAGCGGTTTGACAGGTGAAGTGAACTGGGGATTGGGAACTTGGATTTCCAAAGTTAACTCAATCAATTCTGAAAAAACGTACAAAATAATCGACGAATTTGCCACTTTTATGACAGATTTAAGTGGAATTGGCATAAAACTGATGGAAGTTGATTACACGAGGTTGCAGATGAAATACTACGAAGAAATGTTGAAATTCTTGAGAGATTATGTTAAAGTTATCAACAAATTCATCAAGAAAGTTGAAGAATTGAAAGTGACAGAAGACGAAGAATTCGTTGAACTCCTCAAAATTTCAACAGGAAAATTCGGAGAAATGGCTGGTCAGTTCACTTTTAAGAGTCAACCAAAAAGTGACCCAGATAAAAGTGCCAAACAAAATGAGTTTGATGCCAAATTTGCTCCACAACTTATTTTCGAGATCGAGAAGATGATTGTCAACACACGTAAATTGATTGACAAGAAATTAATTGAAGATATTTCTGATGATTTCTGTCGATTAAAGAACGCTGATGTGAAGATCAGGAGACCTTCAAAGAAGAAGCAAAAGAAGGTCGAAGAAGAAGAAAATGAAGAACAAAACAAGACAGAAGATGAAAACAGAACAGAAGACGAGAATAAAACAGAAGATGAAAATAAAACTGAGGACGAACAAAACACAGAAAGTCACACAGAAGATGACAAAAATAAGACTGAAGATGATGAAAAAGGTGATGAAGATGAAGAGGATGATATTCAACACGGTCAAAAATCAAGACAGGATGATGATGACTCGGAAGACGAAGACAGTATTGTTGATTGATAAATAAATTATTCTTTTATTTTTATTTTCCACGTCTATTTTTTAAGAATAAAAGCTATAATGCTTTTATTAAAAGATATTCCCTTATAATCAGTCTATTATTGTGGATCTCATGATCTCATAATGCTTTTGTTAAAAGATATAAAATCCACAATAAACAAATAGTTTAAACCATAATGATTTAAGTTGTACGCTAGTTCATTTTGATATTTACAAGTGGAGTGCAGAAAACTCATCTATTCCAGTGGTCATTCCATTAACAAAATATAACAACAACTAAAATTTTGACGCGTTTGGACAATGCTTCTATTCAAACAATTGGGATCAACAATATATGACATTGTTGAATAGGACATTTCTAATTTTGAAGTATTCTCAAAATGCGAAATTATGATTGGAAATTATTTCATTTTTTCCAAAATTGGAGAATTGACTTTTAGAAACAAAAATGCTAAAGCGAAGAATTACATTATTTTATATCAAATTGATCTAAAATATCGATCTTTTTAAAAATTATGAAAAAATCGACTAAACTGCGCTTAGTATTAGCAAAAATGCAATATTATAGAAAGAATAACAATTAATATATATGTGTTACTAATACAGATTTGATTTCAAATTTCATTTGGGTATATTATATGAAATAGTTATGATTATATCCATTAGTATGCATAGTCTTAGGTGTTGGTGCATTAGACAAGCTTTTCATTGTTTTCAAATATCGATTTCTTATTTTTATAAGATTGAATTTGAACAAGCTATTAATGGGCAAAGTTTTTGCCATATACTTCCTTGTAAGATAGTCCGGACGATCGAATCCGAAATCATTACTCCGAGATAATTTTTTGACATGGTGAAGAGTCAAATTAACTCAAGAAATCATTAGATCTGAAGCATGGTATAGTCATATTTTAAGAGAATTTAACTTCTGACGGCTGTAATCAAAAATAATTGAATTGAAAGGATTGCAAGGTTCGAAATTTTTATTATAAAATTCATTTTGATTCAATATAATTCCATTAATATTTGCAATATACAGAAGCATTTTTAACTCTTTGAACAAATTTGACATCAGTTAATAAAAAACTGAAATTGAATGTCACTTTTTAATAGTTAATAATGCATAGAAAACGAGAACGTGATAATGAAATCGCGCGTGTCCAACAGAGAGTCAGTGGCTTTAATCCTCAATGCAGTGATGCATGGGCTGGCCTTTGCCAACATTTTGGCTCCAAAATCACTCAAGATGAATTAGTATCTATTGCAGAAGCAATTAAACCATACGCTCAAGTCAAATTAGACCGTGATGCACGAAGAAGAAAGAGTGTTATACTTAAATGGTACCAAGATAATTGGGCCCAAATTAGCAAATATATTAAATATGTAGTGTTAGAAGATGATTCATCTGCATGATTAGGATATTTTATACTAATATATTGAAATAAACATGTTCTTTATCAATCAAAATCTTTCCTTATTTCAATCATTCAAATTTTTATGAGCGGCTTAATGAAATTTTTGTGCTTTTCAGAATTTTGAATATATATATTTTGGTAATGATACAATTTTGAAAGACAAAATATTTTTCGATTATTATATAGGAGCTAATTGAACTTGTTATCATTAATTTTGTCGTTCAGATATATTAAATTGACTGTGAAATCTTGAGGAATAAATAAATGTGATTGAACTACATTTGTAGTATATATTTCAAAATTTGATTGAAATTTTGTTGAAAAAGATTAAATTAATGTATAAGTTTTAGAACATGATTTTCAAAGTTAATGTAATATGTTTATTTTTTGAGAGAGTTCAAAATATACAATATCCTATTCAAAAATCATCAAATAATCTGAATAATTGAAAGCTCATCCGCTCGGTACAAATATGTTTTGATTAGGTACTAAATTCAGATTAGAAATTTCAAATTTTACGGATTTTTTTGGATAAATTAATTGACAGTATGCATGGACGGATGAGATTATATCTATAATTGTAAACACATAATAAGAACCACTATAGAGATATAATTTTCTAATTGTTTTCTCGTCATGAATTTTCTATTGAAATCAAAAAATTCGTTAATAAATTTAATCCTCCTTATTTCCAAAAATAGTTAATTTTAATCAGAAACGCATGTTAATAAATTATTGTACGAAAGCATTTTAATTTAACCCAACATTTTGATGGATCCTATAAAATTTTTTCTGTTTCAATTCAAATTTTATAAAGTTTACAATTTTATCTAATAAAATGATGCCTAATCGATTCCTTTGATAGAATTTATTATTTTAAATTGCGTGTTTTTCAAACACTTTTTAAATTTTTCGATAGAATCTTGACAATCTTGCAAATACTATAATCAATTGCTTATTCATATCTGATTCTCATATCAACATTATTTGTCAATAAATTTCATTAATTTCTATTTTTATTTTTACTTACTTAGTATTTCTTAATTTATTCTACCAAATCATTAACTAAATCATATATATAACAATACTCTGCAACTGTTTTCTTAATCGCTCATTATTTTTATAATCAATAAATTTCACGATTATATTTCATTTCTATACTGTGTTCATATTCTGAAAATTTTCCTGATTCACGTATGCTTATACACTCTTTTATTTTCATAACACTGCATCAATCATGGCATTAATGTTATTATTTTATGCCCAAAATATCTCAACCTCACATTCTCATATTCCTAAAAAAAAAAAAAAAAAAAAAAAAAAAAAAAAGGAAGTGGGGCTTCCAGGCACTTCGTGCCTTCTAGCCCTGAAGATGTTTAGTATAAATGAAGTCTTAGAGGACAAACATGACTATGAGTTTTGATATGACAAGATAGAATATGAGAGAGGTCCTATAAACCGGAGAAAGTGTTATATAAACATCTGTCATATTACTCAGAATATTATACAGAATTCAATAAAAATATATTTTAGGTGAAGAGGTGAGATTTCACCTGTTTTTTCACCTCATTTTTCACCTCTTGAATTTTCATGAATTTCATCGTAAAGACTTTGTCAAGATTTCATCGTAAAGACTTTGTCAAGATTTCATCGTAAAGACTTTGTCAAAACTTCATCGTAAAGACTTTGTCAAAACTTCATCGTAAAGACTTTGTCAAAACTTCATCGTAAAGACTTTGTCAAGATTTCTTCGTAAAGACTTTGTCAAAACTTCATCGTAAAGACTTTGTCAAGATTTCTTCGTAAAGACTTTGTCAAGATTTCTTCGTAAAGACTTTGTCAAAACTTCATCGTAATGAGCGTAAATCAGACAAAAATATATTTTAGGGTAGAAGGGTATATCTACCCCGTTTTCTACCCTCTTTTCTACCCCATATGTACTTACTGAAAAAAGTATGTGTTCCATCTGTCATTTTACTCAGAATTTTACACCAAAAATAATGTTTAGGTGAAGAGGTGAGATTTCACCTGTTTTTTCACCTAATTTTTCACCCTCTTGAATTTTCATGAAATTTACACCAAAAATATACTACTAGGGTCATTTACGAAGAAATCTCAACAAAGTCTTTACGAAGAAAATCTCAACAAAAAACATAGACCAAGAAAGTTCATGAGAAATTAGATGAAGAAGTCTTAACAAAGTCTTTACGAAGAAATTCATGAAAATTCAAGAGGTGAGAAATGAGGTGAAAAAAGAGGTGAAATCTCACCTCTTCACCTAAAATATATTTTTGGGTCATTTACGAAGAAATCTCAACAAAGTCTTTACGAAGAAATCTCAACAAAGTCTTTACGAAGAAGTCTTGACAAAACATTTACAAAGAAGTCACAATAAAACATCTGTCACTTTTCAGGAAAAAACATTTTTTATTATATATATAAAATGAATTTTACAAAACCACCGTTACCCTTCTTTGGAAATAAGAGTAGATGTAAAGATATTCTATTGAGAGAACTTAAGAAACTACCGAATGGTCTAACATTTGTAGATTTGTTCGGTGGAAGTTTCTATATATCTCATTTGTGCCATACCGTATTCCCAGACTCAAAGATTATATGCAATGACTTCGACAACTATATGAACCGTCTCAAACATATACCAGACACAAACAAAATATTGAAAGAGTTAAAAGAAAAGATACCTATAGGTAAGATGGAACGTATACCATTAGATAAGAAAAATACTGTCAGAGAGGTTTTGAAAAAGGCAGAGTATATTGACTGGGATAGTATATCTTCTAGACTATTATATAGTGGTTCTATAAGAGTTCATGACATTGAAACACTTATGTCAAAAGTTTTATATCTTAACTATACAAAGGTTTTCAAAAAGAACATAGAAAAATATACTGAGGGTATAGAGTTTGTGAGATGTCATTGGACAGAGTTGTATGAAAAATATAAAGACAAGGAAAATGTTTTCTTTATAGTAGACCCGCCGTTCTATAACACATACGATTTTCAATACCAAGTAGACTGGACTTTGAGAGACTCTTTAGAAACTTTAGACGTTTTACATAACCATCCATGCTTTTACTTTACATCCGATAAAAGTGGTTTGGAAAGTGTCATGAGATGGTTAGAGGACATACATGACTATGAGTTTATATATGACAAGATAGAATATGAGAGAGGTCCTATAAACCGGAAAAAGTGTCATAACAAAGAAATTTTACTAGTAAGTAAATGTGGTTTGAAATAGGACTACTTGTTTTAGGTTTTTTCCATTGTGTCATTTACTTATTTGACGTGGCAGAAAGATATAGAGAATATGAAGATGAACCAATGCCTGCAAATGTTCAGCATATGTACTCGTAAGAGATATTTTTATCTAATATTAAATGGACGCACAGAACTTAGCGAATGCACAGCAACCTGGACAACCAAACCCAGAGAATATTCCAAATGAAGTTAGAATACAAACTGCAATGGCAAACTATGGTCAAGTGCCAACAGATGTACAAATGCAAACTGCCATGTCAAATGACGCTGCGTTAGGTTTGCCACCATGGTATGCAAATATGAGATGGAAAGAGTTTTATACAAACCTGAAGTGGGATATAAACAACTCTATGCAGATGACGCGAACACAGGAGTTGACCCAGAGTATGTTTTCTACCAGAGGAGAAATAGAATGTATGAGCTCCAGTTAAAGAATGCTATGGAACTCAGAAGGAAACGTAAGAGACTAGGTGGACATTAGATTTTTACATATAGTAAAATGGGTTTCTTTGGAAGAATAGGAAACTTCTTTCGAAATGTTGGAAGAGGTATATGGAATGGAATAAAATCTGTCGGAAGAGGAATTTGGAACGGAGTCAAAAATATTGGCAAAAGAGTAGGTCAGTTCGTTGGTATTATACCTAAAGACCCTGAACCAGAAGAGCAAGCTCCTGTTATACAACAGCCTGAACCTGCACCACAGTCTAGTTGGCAACCAAATCCAACACCTCAACCGTATTAAAAAATCATATTTTTACCGTTCGATAGTAGTTGTATATGAAACTAAGTTCTAAGTAAAACGCGTGGTATAATGGAATTATTCTCTTTCTTCCATCTGTAGTAAACCATACTTGAAAGTCTGAAATACTTCCACTTGGTGGTTCGTATAGCTTTGTAGGTTTTTCGTAAAAGTCATTTGCCAAGCATAAAAAAGAGTTTTGTGCACCAGAAAATGAAGCATGAACTATAATAGCATCTGAGTCGAAAACATTTTCATATGTTCCATTAGGGTTTTCGACTTCATAAAAGTTCGGGTGTACTGGATATTCTGCAGGCTGATTTAACATCCTCAAAAATCTATACCATGCCAAGTTGTTATATTTTGTAGAAATATAAACGTCTTCTCCAAGGTCTTCTATTCTATTGATTTTAACAGTTGCATTTTTCCTGTCATATATAATATCGAGATGGTACTCTCCTTCGTCAATGTTGTACTGTTTTGCATATTCGAGATAGATATCGTTTATTTTTTCTTGAAAAGCTTGAAGAGTTGTTTCTAAGTTTACAAGCAAATTCACTTGTAAAAGTTTTCCCTGTTCAAATTTCTCATACGTACGTTTTTCTTTGTTATAGTATCGAACTTCAAAACCGACCGTAAATGGGAAACCATGTATGGCTTCTGAAATGAACTTCATTCTACGAAAGCCAATAGCTTTTGTGACGGATGGGTCTCTTAACCATCTTAGTGGGTAGTCAAAACGATAGCCTTCATGCTTTACGGTCTCTGTCTCAAACTTTTGACCGACATTCGTAAAAAGTTCATCTAATGGTTTAGTTGTAGCAACTCTTGAATTTTCTTTTTCTATTGAAAGCATATTTTATCTAGAATAAAAATGTCGAAAGAAACAGCGTCTATGAGAGAAATACAACACAACCGACAACTCATTTTGCAAGCTCTAAATAAGAACACAACAAACTTTTCAAACTATTCTAAGA